CCCCCCCGACCAAACAAGCAAGAAGAGGATGCCCTACTACTACAGTACATCACGTGAGACCCATACCCAAGAGATAGACTATACGTCCGAAAACTTGCAGACTTCCTACAACGACTGCTAGCACAAAGGAACGGTGCGACAAACATCACCACAACAAGGAGAAATCGGTAGCGAACCCTTCAACCATCCGGAGACCGCGAAAATATAACAACCAGCAGCGTTTGGGCGCCGCACGGAGCTGCGCATCGACGCCCAAAACCAAAACAAACACAACTGTTCTACTAGGAAAAAATAGTGATATCCTACAATGACGAAAAAACTACGGAGGCTATTTCCTATCCATAAATTTCCTTTGCAACGCCCGTCCACCGATGGGGGCATATTTCAGTAACACAAACGATCAGATGATGATGTTAAAGATACTTTGTTCACCCAACAAGTGCACAACCGAGGTGCAGTACGTACGCGTGACCAAGAAGTTCTACCGGCCCCGTGGTGCGAAATGCAGCTACTTCTGTAGCTCTGACCGTGTTGTCTTTGCACCGTGAGCAAGCTGTGAGTACACAAACAAACGAGCGGTTTACACACCAACACCAACCAATAACACTCTCCGGGCTATTGACACAACGAACAACAAGAGGATAGACAGCATCATCATCACCAGGTGATGGCTCTTTGTAATTTTTTTTTAAAGTATGAACCCACGTGCTGACAAGGCTCCCTTCCACCACATCATTTTTCACGGAGAGAGCTACCTCTTTTGCTAAACAAGACACCGCCGCCGGGAGAGCTTTCCCTTCCACAAGCATTCTGCGCATTCGTTACCACACGGACGGGATTGCATTGTAGTTGGTCTCAGCGCGGGACTAAACATGGGGCCCGCGTGAACCAAACAAGGGCTTCGTGCCAAATACAACGTCGTATGATATGGTAAAGCAAACACACCTCCGCGGCATTTGTACACCAACCAGAACCTTATTTTCCACGCCGCGTTGCTGCCGTCTCCAACATCTAGTGCGTCATGCCGAGCCTATCTCGCCAATAGCCCGACGTGTGCCGCCGCATGTAAGCAGCCGGCATGCCACTGCTACTGTCGGACCAACCGCTGGCGGTGCCCGCTGCTGCCGAGGTCTCGGTCGCGTTTACGGCACCAGACCCCGTCGCTGGCACCTTCCACGACGACAGTGGGTCCGAGTGTCTCCGCCACGACTCCCCCCCCGGCGCATCCTCCTGCTCGTCGTGCTCTCGATGATGCTGCCCCCGCACCGACGACAGAAGCGGTGGCATTACCCCGCCGTGGCTAGCCGCAGCGGACACCACCCGCTGCAGCAGGCGCTGGCGCTGGTAGAATATTTCCTCCTCGTTAGCGCCGCCGTCCTCGTCGCTCACAAGCTGCGCCTCGGGGGGAGGGGGCGGGGGCGGGGGGGAATCCTCCGGCCCAGAGGCGAAGGCGCCGCCGACCTGGCTGCCAGCACGAGCGAGCACGGCTTGACTTCCGCCGTTCGACGGCATCGCCGCAGGGCCAGGGTCCCGGCCGAGCGAACAGCTTCGCCGACCCTGACTCCCACCACTTCCCCCGATTCGTTCATCCGTTACGCCTCCGCCGCTATCGTTGTGGGAGTAGATGCCCTCTATCGCCAACGCCAGCCACGCCCCGACCACATCCGGAGGTACTCCCCCAAGCCCAAGCAAGTTTTCCTTTTGTGCCCCCCCCGGCGCGACGACTCGATCTGCCTCGGTGTCGTGCTTCTTCGACCACTCCGAGAACAGCGTAGGAGCCGACCACGACCGCCGCTGCCGCTGCGAAGACACTTGTTGCTGCGCGTGGGGCAGCGGCAAAGCGCAGCAATTTTCACCAGCACGGATCTGCTCGCCCGCCCTTTGAGGGGGAGTGCAGGCATCGTACCGAGGGGCTCGGGAGGAACCCGACGATGCCCGGAGCCTCGAGTCCGCGAAAAGCTCCCCCGCGAAGGAAACGCCTATGCGCGAGCTATACGACAACGGCGGCCCGGTATCGTCCAGCGGGGCGATGGTGTTAAGGGTGCTGGATGCCCGGAGCACAGACGAGCGCGTCACATCCGCGAAGGAGTCCATGAACAGCGGCCCGCTCCCCGAGCTCCGGTCTACTGCTGTCCCCGCCCTTGGAACCGGCGGCACGCCAGCGGCGAGAAACGGAGACTCCCTCCGGCTTGAGGAGGACTCTGACCCCCGCGCCCCATCGCCGGCTCCTACCCCGCCGGTAGCGCTTGACGCTCGTCTCTCTGCCACCGGCCCGTCGTGCGCCTGGCGATCGAACCCCTGACGAGTCTTCTCGCCACCCGGTGACGCGCTCCCCTCCCCCTCGCTCAGGATCGTAGAAAGCCCGTGAACCTGCTGCTGTTGCTGCCGTCGTCGAGCGCTCACAACTAGCGGCTCGCCCCCGCCCCCGTTACCCCCACCCCCTCGCCACCCTCCGGACGGGACGACCACGTTCTGGCATGCGCTGTGAGGTAGCCCTGCGTGGGCGACCGCGGGGATCGGGCTAAGGTTCGGGCTGTCGAAAAACGACGAGGTTCCGGACTTTGGGCCAGCTCCTTCAGCTAGATATTCGTCGCTCTTCAGCCGGGGCCGTCGGCTCGGGGTGTGGCACAGAGGTAGCCGGGATTGCCGCGGTGTGCAGCACGGTCCTGGATCTGCCACTGGTACTGACGGCGGATTTTAGGCGGACGGCGGGAAGGAGGGTAAGGTGCGCCTGAATGCGTTGTGCTCGTGCCCATACAGGTCGAGGGCGGGTTTGCGTGGGGCATGGCATGTTGGCGGCAGTCGGCATGGCGGTACTTCCTGCTGTAGACTAAAGGTACGATACCCGGCACAGTATTGCGCGATACATTATCTTGCTGGGAAAGGTGTAATCAAGAACACGCCAACAAGATGGTAGGTGCAAGCTCGAAGGGCTCGCATGTTACACCGTAAACTCTGCAGACCGCAACCGCTGGAGACCGCAACTTGCA